GTGATGGTCAATGGTTAAATAAAGGACGTGAGTCTCTAGAGACGGTGATGGTCAATGGTTAAATAAAGGACGTGAGTCTCTAGAGACGGTGATGGTCAATGGTTAAATAAAGGACGTGAGTCACTAGAGACGGTGATGGTCAATGGTTAAATAAAGGACGTGAGTCTCTAGAGAGGGTGATGGTCAATGGTTAAATAAAGGACGTGATTCTCTACAGACGGTGAAGGTCAATGGTTAAATAAAGGACGTGAGTCTCTAGAGACGGTGATGGTCAATGGTTAAATAAAGGACGTGAGTCACTAGCTAGAGACGGTGATGGTCAATGGTTAAATAAAGGACGTGAGTCTCTAGAGACGGTGATGGTCAATGGTTAAATAAAGGACGTGAGTCTCTAGAGACGGTGATGGTCAATGGTTAAATAAAGGACGTGAGTCACTACAGACGGTGATGGTCAATGGTTAAATAAAGGACGTGAGTCACTAGCTAGAGACGGTGATGGTCAATGGTTAAATAAAGGACGTGAGTCTCTAGAGAGGGTGATGGTCAATGGTTAAATAAAGGACGTGATTCTCTACAGACGGTGATGGTCAATGGTTAAATAAAGGACGTGAGTCATCTAGAGACGGTGATTGGTCATGGTTAAATAAAGGACGTGAGTCACTAGCTAGAGACGGTGATGGTCAATGGTTAAATAAAGGACGTGAGTCACGACAGACGGTGATGGTCAATGGTTAAATAAAGGACGTGAGTCTCTAGAGACGGTGATGGTCAATGGTTAAATAAAGGACGTGAGTCTCTAGAGACGGTGATGGTCAATGGTTAAATAAAGGACGTGAGTCTCTAGAGACGGTGATGGTCAATGGTTAAATAAAGGACGTGGGTCTCTAGAGATGGTGATGGTCAATGGTTAAATAAAGGACGTGAGTAGCCACAGACGACGATGGTCAATGGTTAAATAAAGGACGTGAGTCTCTAGAGACGGTGATGGTCAATGGTTAAATAAAGGACGTGAGTCACTAGCTAGAGACGGTGATGGTCAATGGTTAAATAAAGGACGTGAGTCTCTAGAGACGGTGATGGTCAATGGTTAAATAAAGGACGTGAGTCACTAGCTAGAGACGGTGATGGTCAATGGTTAAATAAAGGACGTGAGTCTCTAGAGACGGTGATGGTCAATGGTTAAATAAAGGACGTGAGTAACTACAGACGGTGATGGTCAATGGTTAAATAAAGGACGTGGGTCACTACAGACGGTGATGGTCAATGGTTAAATAAAGGACGTGGGTCACTACAGACGGTGATGGTCAATGGTTAAATAAAGGACGTGATGGTCAATGGTTAAATAAAGGACGTGAGTCTCTAGAGACGGTGATGGTCAATGGTTAAATAAAGGACGTGAGTCACTAGCTAGAGACGGTGATAGTCAATGGTTAAATAAAGGACGTGAGTCTCTAGAGACGGTGATGGTCAATGGTTAAATAAAGGACGTGAGTCACTACAGACGGTGATGGTCAATGGTTAAATAAAGGACGTGATTCTCTACAGACGGTGATGGTCAATGGTTAAATAAAGGACGTGAGTCACTAGCTAGAGACGGTGATGGTCAATGGTTAAATAAAGGACGTGAGTCTCTAGAGACGGTGATGGTCAATGGTTAAATAAAGGACGTGAGTAACTACAGACGGTGATGGTCAATGGTTAAATAAAGGACGTGGGTCACTACAGACGGTGATGGTCAATGGTTAAATAAAGGACGTGAGTCACTAGCTAGAGACGGTGATAGTCAATGGTTAAATAAAGGACGTGAGTCTCTAGAGACGGTGATGGCCAAATGGTTAAATAAGGACGTGAGTCCACTAGCTGAGAGACGGTGATGGTCAATGGTTAAATAAAAGGACGTGAGTCTCTAGAGACGGTGATGGTCAATGGTTAAATAAAGGACGTGAGTCACTACAGACGGTGATGGTCAATGGTTAAATAAAGGACGTGATTCTCTACAGACGGTGATGGTCAATGGTTAAATAAAGGACGTGAGTCTCTAGAGACGGTGATGGTCAATGGTTAAATAAAGGACGTGAGTCACTAGCTAGAGACGGTGATGGTCAATGGTTAAATAAAGGACGTGAGTCTCTAGTGACGGTGATGGTCAATGGTTAAATAAAGGACGTGAGTCTCTAGAGACGGTGATGGTCAATGGTTAAATAAAGGACGTGAGTCTCTAGAGACGGTGATGGTCAATGGTTAAATAAAGGACGTGAGTAGCTAGAGACGGTGATGGTCAATGGTTAAATAAAGGACGTGGGTCACTAGAGACGGTGATGGTCAATGGTTAAATAAAGGACATGAGTCACTAGCGAGAGACGGTGATGGTCAATGGTTAAATAAAGGACGTGAGTCTCTAGAGACGGTGATGGTCAATGGTTAAATAAAGGACGTGAGTCACTACAGACGGTGATGGTCAATGGTTAAATAAAGGACGTGAGTCACTACAGACGGTGATGGTCAATGGTTAAATAAAGGACGTGAGTAGCTAGAGACGGTGATGGTCAATGGTTAAATAAAGGACGTGATGGTCAATGGTTAAATAAAGGACGTGCGTAGCTAGAGACGGTGATGGTCAATGGTTAAATAAAGGACATGAGTCACTACAGATGGTGATGGTCAATGGTTAAATAAAGGACGTGAGTAGCTAGAGACGGTGATGGTCAATGGTTAAATAAAGGACGTGATGGTCAATGGTTAAATAAAGGACGTGCGTAGCTAGAGACGGTGATGGTCAATGGTTAAATAAAGGACGTGAGTCACTACAGACGGTGATGGTCAATGGTTAAATAAGGACGTGGGTCACTACAGACGGTGATGGTCAATGGTTAAATAAAGGACGTGATGGTCAATGGTTAAATAAAGGACGTGATGGTCAATGGTTAAATAAAGGACGTGAGTCACTACAGACGGTGATGGTCAATGGTTAAATAAAGGACGTGAGTCACTACAGACGGTGATGGTCAATGGTTAAATAAAGGACGTGGGTCACTACAGACGGTGATGGTCAATGGTTAAATAAAGGACGTGATGGTCAATGGTTAAATAAAGGACGAGGGTCTCTAGAGATGGTGATGGTCAATGGTTAAATAAAGGACGTGAGTAGCCACAGACGGTGATGGTCAATGGTTAAATAAAGGACGTGAGTCTCTAGAGACGGTGATGGTCAATGGTTAAATAAAGGACGTGAGTCTCTAGAGACGGTGATGGTCAATGGTTAAATAAAGGACGTGAGTCACTACAGACGGTGTTGGTGAATGGTTAAATAAAGGACGTGAGTCTCTACAGACGGTGATGGTCAATGGTTAAATAAAGGACGTGAGTCTCTACAGATGGTGATGGTCAATGGTTAAATAAAGGACGTGAGTCACTACAGACGGTGAAGGTCAATGGTTAAATAAAGGACGTGAGTCTCTACAGACCGTGATGGTCAATGGTTAAATAAAGGACGTGAGTCACCAGAGACGATGATGGTCAATGGTTAAATAAAGGACGTGAGTCTCTAGAGACGGTGATGGTCAATGGTTAAATAAAGGACGTGAGTAGCTAGAGACGGTGATGGTCAATGGTTAAATAAAGGACGTGAGTCTCTAGAGACGGTGATGGTCAATGGTTAAATAAAGGACCCGAGTAGCTACAGACGGTGATGGTCAATGGTTAAATAAAGGACGTGAGTCTCTAGAGATGGTGATGGTCAATGGTTAAATAAAGGACGTGAGTAGCTAGAGACGGTGATGGTCAATGGTTAAATAAAGGACGTGAGTAGCTAGAGACGGTGATGGTCAATGGTTAAATAAAGGACGTGAGTCTCTAGAGACGGTGATGGTCAATGGTTAAATAAAGGACGTGAGTAGCTAGAGACGGTGATGGTCAATGGTTAAATAAAGGACGTGGGTCACTAGAGACGGTGATGGTCAATGGTTAAATAAAGGACATGAGTCACTAGCGAGAGACGGTGATGGTCAATGGTTAAATAAAGGACGTGAGTCTCTAGAGATGGTGATGGTCAATGGTTAAATAAAGGACGTGAGTCACTACAGACGGTGATGGTCAATGGTTAAATAAAGGACGTGGGTCACTAGAGACGGTGATGGTCAATGGTTAAATAAAGGACGTGAGTCTCTAGAGACGGTGATGGTCAATGGTTAAACAAAGGACGTGAGTCTCTAGAGACGGTGATGGTCAATGGTTAAATAAAGGACGTGAGTCTCTAGAGACGGTGATGGTCAATGGTTAAATAAAGGACGTGAGTCTCTAGAGACGGTGATGGTCAATGGTTAAATAAAGGACGTGAGTAGCTACAGACGGTGATGGTCAATGGTTAAATAAAGGACGTGAGTCTCTAGAGACGGTGATGGTCAATGGTTAAATAAAGGACGTGAGTAGCTAGAGACGGTGATGGTCAATGGTTAAATAAAGGACGTGGGTCACTAGAGACGGTGATGGTCAATGGTTAAATAAAGGACATGAGTCACTAGCGAGAGACGGTGATGGTCAATGGTTAAATAAAGGACGTGAGTCTCTAGAGACGGTGATGGTCAATGGTTAAATAAAGGACGTGAGTCACTACAGACGGTGATGGTCAATGGTTAAATAAAGGACGTGAGTCACTACAGACGGTGATGGTCAATGGTTAAATAAAGGACGTGAGTAGCTAGTGACGGTGATGGTCAATGGTTAAATAAAGGACGTGAGTCTCTAGCAACGGTGATGGTCAATGGTTAAATAAAGGACGTGAGTCTCTAGCGACGGTGATGGTCAATGGTTAAATAAAGGACGTGAGTCTCTAGCGATGGTGATGGTCAATGGTTAAATAAAGGACGTGAGTCACTACAGACGGTGATGGTCAATGGTTAAATAAAGGACGTGAGTCGCTAGCGACGGTGATGGTCAATGGTTAAATAAAGGACGTGCGTCACTAGAGACGGTGATGGTTAAATAAAGGACGTGAGTCTCTAGCGACGGTGATGGTCAATGGTTAAATAAAGGACGTGAGTCTCCAGAGACGGTGATGGTCAATGGTTAAATAAAGGACGTGAGTAGCTACAGACGGTGATGGTGAATGGTTAAATAAAGGACGTGAGTAGCTAGAGATGGTGATGGTCAATGGTTAAATAAAGGACGTGAGTCTCTAGAGACGGTGATGGTCAATGGTTAAATAAAGGACGTGAGTCTCTAGAGACGGTGATGGTCAATGGTTAAATAAAGGACGTGAGTAGCTACAGCCGGTGATTGTCAATGGTTAAATAAAGGACGTGAGTCTCTAGAGACGGTGATGGTCAATGGTTAAATAAAGGACGTGAGTAGCTACAGCCGGTGATGGTCAATGGTTAAATAAAGGACGTGAGTAGCTAGAGACGGTGATGGTCAATGGTTAAATAAAGGACGTGAGTCTCTAGAGACGGTGATGGTCAATGGTTAAATAAAGGACGTGAGTAGCTAGAGACGGTGATGGTCAATGGTTAAATAAAGGACGTGGGTCACTAGAGACGGTGATGGTCAATGGTTAAATAAAGGACGTGAGTAGCTATAGACGGTGATGGTCAATGGTTAAATAAAGGACGTGAGTAGCTAGAGACGGTGATGGTCAATGGTTAAATAAAGGGCGTGAGTCACTACAGACGGTGATGGTCAATGGTTAAATAAAGGATGTGTGTCTCTAGAGACGGTGATGGTCAATGGTTAAATAAAGGACGTGCGTCACTAGAGACGGTGATGGTTAAATAAAGGACGTGAGTCTCTAGCGACGGTGATGGTCAATGGTTAAATAAAGAACGTGAGTCTCCAGAGACGGTGATGGTCAATGGTTAAATAAAGGACGTGAGTAGCTAGAGACGGTGATGGTCAATGGTTAAATAAAGGACGTGGGTCACTAGAGACGGTGATGGTCAATGGTTAAATAAAGGACGTGAGTAGCTAGAGACGGTGATGGTCAATGGTTAAATAAAGAACGTGGGTCACTAGAGACGGTGATGGTTAAATAAAGGATGTGAGTAGCTAGAGACGGTGATGGTCAATGGTTAAATAAAGGACCCCCCCTCACCTCCGACGGGGCCCCCTAATCTTGCAGTTTGGGGGGCCCAGGTTGTGATGAGCGGCAGGTGGCTGTGACGATGTGGTCTCCCTGGGCTCCTGTCGAGGGGGTAAATCATCCCGTGGAGATACAGGGTGGGTCCCCTTGAGGGTCCAGAATCACCGCCATCGCTAACATCAATACCATAACTATCATAAATACCATCACTATCATCACTTTCACTACCATCATTACCATCACTACCATCACTACCATCACCATCACTACCATCACTACCATCACTATCATCACTACTATCACTACCATCACTATCACTACCATCACCATCACTACCATCACTACCATCACTATCACTACCATCACTACCATCACTACCATCACTACCATCACCATCACTACCATCACTACCATCACTATCATCACTACTATCACTACCATCACTACCATCACCATCACTACCATCACTATCACTACCATCACTACCATCACTATCACTACCATCACTACCATCACCATCACTACCATCACTACCACCATCACTACCATCACCATCACTACCATCACTATCACTACCATCACCATCACTACCATCACTACCATCAATACCATCACTACCATCACTACCATCACCATCACTACCATCACTATCACTACCATCACCATCACTACCATCACTACCATCACTACCATCACCACCATCACCACCATCACTACCATCACCACCATCACCACCATCACTACCATCACCACCATCACTACCATCACTACAATCAATACCATCACTATCACTACCATCACTACCACTACCATCACTCCCATCACTATCACTACCATCACCATCATCACCATCACAGCCATCGCTACTATCACTACCATCACTATCGCTACCATCACCGCCATCGCTACCATCACTACCATCACTACCATCATTACCATCACTATCACTACCATCACCACCATCACTATCACTACCATCACTATCATCACTACTATCACCATCACTACCATCACTATCACTACCATCACCGCCATCGCTACCATCACTACCATCACTACCATCATTACCATCACTATCACTACCATCACCACCATCACTATCACTACCATCACTATCATCACTACCATCACCACCATCACTCCCCTCACTACCACTACCATCACTACCATCACCATCAATACCATCACTACCATCACTACTATCACCATCACCACCATCACTATCACTACCATCACTACCATCACCATCACTACCATCACTATTATCACTACTATCACCATCACCACCATCACTACTACCATCACTACCATCACTACCATCACCATCACCACCATCACCATCACTACCATCACCATCACTACCATCACTATCACTACCATCACTACCATCACTATCACTACCATCACTACCATCACCATCACTACCATCACTACCACCATCACTACCATCACCATCACTACCATCACTATCACTACCATCACCATCACTACCATCACTACCATCAATACCATCACTACCATCACTACCATCACCATCACTACCATCACTATCACTACCATCACCATCACTACCATCACTACCATCACTACCATCACCACCATCACTACCATCACCACCATCACCACCATCACTACCATCACCACCATCACTACCATCACTACAATCAATACCATCACTATCACTACCATCACTACCACTACCATCACTCCCATCACTATCACTACCATCACCATCATCACCATCACAGCCATCGCTACTATCACTACCATCACTATCGCTACCATCACCGCCATCGCTACCATCACTACCATCACTACCATCATTACCATCACTATCACTACCATCACCACCATCACTATCACTACCATCACTATCATCACTACTATCACCATCACTACCATCACTATCACTACCATCACCGCCATCGCTACCATCACTACCATCACTACCATCATTACCATCACTATCACTACCATCACCACCATCACTATCACTACCATCACTATCATCACTACCATCACCACCATCACTCCCCTCACTACCACTACCATCACTACCATCACCATCAATACCATCACTACCATCACTACTATCACCATCACCACCATCACTATCACTACCATCACTACCATCACCATCACTACCATCACTATCACTACCATCACTACCATCACCATCACTACCATCACCATCACTACCATCACCATCACTACCATCACCACCATCACTACCATCACTACCATCACCATCAGTACCATCACTACCATCACCATCACTACCATCACTATCACTACCATCACTACCATCACTACCATCACCATCACTACCATCACCATCACTACCATCACTACCATCACTATCACTACCATTACTACCATTACCATCACTACCATCACCATCAATACCATCACTATCACTACCATCACTACCATCACTACCATCACAACCATCACTATCACTACCATCACAACCATAACTATCACTACCATCACAACCATCACTATCACTACCATCTCTAACATCACCATTACTACCATTACCATCACTACCATCACTACCATCACTACCACTACCATCCCCATCACTACCCTCACTATCACTACCATCATCACTACCATCACTACCATCACCATCACTACCATCACCATCACTACCACCACCATCACCACCATCAATACCATCACTACCATCACTATCACTACCATCACCACTATCACTACCATCACCATCACGACCATCATCTTTATCACCATCACTAGCATCACCATCACCACTACCATCACCACTACCATCATCATCATCACCACCATCACCATCACTACCTTCACCGCCACCATCACCACCACACTCACTCACTCACCACACTCACTCACTCACCACACTAACCACCACACTCACTCACCACCACACTCACTCACCACACACACCACCACACTCTCACCACCACACTCACTCACCACACACACCACCACACTCTCACCACCACACTCACTCACTCACCACCACCACACTCACCACCGCACTCACCACCACACTCACACCACCACACTCACTCACTCACCACCACCACACTCACCACCGCACTCACCACCACACTCACTCACCACCACATTCACTACCACACTCACTCACCACCACACTCACCACCACACACACTCACCACCACATTCACCACCACATTCACCACCACACTCACTCACCACCAAACTCACTCACTCACCACCACACTCACCACTACACTCACTCACCGCCACATTCACCAGTACACTCACTCACCACACTCACCACCATGCTTAATCACCACCACACTCACCACCACACTCACCACCACACTCACCACTACACTCACTCACCACCACACACACTCACCACCACATTCACAACCACACTCACTCACCACCATACTCACCACCACACTCACTCACCACCACACTCACCACCACACTCACTCACCACCACACTCAACACCACACTCAACACCACACTCACTCACCACCACACTCACTCACCACCACATTCACCACCACTCACCACCACACTTAATCACCACCACACTCACCACCACACTTACCACCACACTCACTCACTCGCTCACCACCACACTCACTCACCACACTCACCACCACACTTAATCACCACCACACTCACCACCACACTCACTCACCACCACACTCACCACCATACTCACTCACCACCACACTCACTCGCTCGCTCACCACCACACTCACTCACTCACTCACCACACTCACTCACCACACACACTCACTCACCACCACCACACTCACCACCACACTCACTCACCACCACACTCACTCACCACCACACTCACTCACCACACTCACCACCACACTCACTCACCACCACACTCACCACCACACACACTCACCACCCCACTCACCACCACACTCACTCACCACCACACTCACTCACCACACTCACCACCACACTCACTCACCACCACACTCACCACCACACACACTCACCACCCCACTCACCACCACACTCACCACCACACACACTCACCACCCCACTCACCACCACACTCACTCACCACCACACTCACTCGCCACCACATTCACCACCACACTCACTCACTCGCTCACCACCACACTTACCACCACCACACTCACTCACTCGCTCACCACCACACTCACTCACTCACCACACTCACTCACCACCATACTCACTCACTCACCACACTCACCACCACCACACTCACCACCACACTCACCACCACATTCACCACCACATTCACCACCACCACCACACTCACCACTACACTCACACACTCACCACCACACTCACTCACTCACCACACTCTCTCACCACCACACTCACTCAACACCACCACACTCACCACCACACTTAATCACTCACCACACTCACCACCACACACACTCACTCACCACCACCACACTCACCACCACACTCACTCACCACCACCACACTCACCACCACACTCACCACCACACTCACCACCACAATCACCACCACACCACCACCACACTCACCACTACACTCACACACTCACCACCACACTCACTCACCACACTCACTCAGTCACCACACTCACTCACCACCACACTCACCACCACACTCACTCACCACCACACTCACCACCACACTCACCACCACACTCACTCACCACCACACTCACCACAACACTCACCACCACATTCACCACCACACTCACCACCACCACACTCACCACCACTCCCACTCACCACCACACTCACCACCACACTCACCACCACATTCACCACCACGTTCACCACCACACTCACCACCACCACACTCACCACCACACTCACCACCACACTCACCACCCTGGTGAGCGTATTGTCTGCACGACTCCACTCACCTCCTCAGCGCGCGTTCCATCCTTCCCTTCCTCTGTCGGCATTCCGCTCGGGAATTCTGATCCGGGTTTGTCATGCTTCTGAGGCAAAGGAGGCTTAGAATCCCGAAGAAGTTGCTGTGTCCGCGATATCTTCGGGAATTCTGAATCCTGTGTTCGCGATTCATTCGGGAATTCTGAACCCTGTGTCCGGGATTCCTTCGGGAATTCTGAACCCTGGGTCGGGAATTCTGAATCCTGGGTCCGGGATTTATTTGGGAATTCTGAATCCTGGGTCGGGAATTCTGAATCCTGTGTCCGGGATTCCTTCGGGAATTCTGAATCCTGGGTCGGGAATTCTGAATCCTGAGTCCGGGATTTATTTGGGAATTCTGAATCCTGGGTCAGGAATTCTGAATCCTGTGTCCGCGATTCCTTCGGGAATTCTGAATCCTGTGTCCGCGATTCCTTCGGGAATTCTGAACCCTGGGTCCGGGATTTCTTCGGGATTTCTGAATCCTGGGTCGGGATTTCTGAATCCTGGGACCGGGATTTCGTCGGGAATTCTGAACCCTGGGTCCGGGATTCCTTCGGGAATTCTGAATCCTGTGTCCGGGATTTATTTGGGAATTCTGAATCCTGGGTCGGGAATTCTGAATCCTGAGTCCGGGATTCCTTCTGGAATTCCAATGCAGAATTCCAATATTTAATGGAGACACTGTCATTTGTTATCACAGTATCATCATCACCACCATCATCATCTTCACCATCATCATCAACATCCTCATCATCTTCGTTTTCCCCCTTGGGAAAGAGTTCCTGCTGGGATTGGGATCGATGGGGATTCATCCCAGAACATTGGGAATATCCTAGGAGGAAGGGGAGAGGGAGAGAGATGAGTGACCGGGTGAGTGGGTGACTGGGTCCGTCTGTGGGTGAGTGGTTGGGTGGGTGAGTGAGTGTGTGGATGGGTGAGTGGGTGAGTGGGTGAGTGGGTGTGTGGGTGAGTGAGTGGGTGAGTGAGTGAGTGGGTGAGTGAGTGTGTGGGTGGGTGAGTGAGTGGGTGAGTGGGTGTGTGGGTGAGTGAGTGGGTGAGTGAGTGAGTGTGTGGGTGAGTGGGTGAGTGAGTGTGTGTGAGGGTGAATGAGTGGGTGAGTTTGTGTGTGGGTGAGTGAGTGGGTGAGTGAGTGGGTGAATGGGTGAGTGGTTGGGTGAGTGGTTGGGTGGGTGAGTGAGTGAGTGTGTGGATGGGTGAGTGAGTGGGTGGGTGAGTGGGTGAGTGGGTGTGTGGGTGAGTGAGTGTGTGGGTGAGTGGGTGTGTAGGTGAGTGAGTGGGTGAGTGAGTGGGTGAGTGAGTGGGTGAGTGGTTGGGTGGGTGGGTGAGTGAGTGAGTGTGTGGATGGGTGAGTGAGTGGGTGGGTGAGTGGGTGAGTGGGTGTGTGGGTGAGTGAGTGTGTGGGTGAGTGGGTGGGTGGGTGAGTGTGTGGGTGAGTGAGTGGGTGAGTGTGTGGGTGAGTGAGTGAGTGGGTGAGTGGGTGAGTGTGTGGGTGAGTGGGTTAGTGAGTGTGTGGGTGGGTGTGCGGGTGAGTGAGTGGGTGAGTGAGTGGGTGATTGTGTGGGTGAGTGAGTGGGTGAGTGGGTTAGTGAGTGAGTGAGTGGGTGAGTGGGTGGGTGGGTGAGTAGGTCGGTGGGTGGGTGAGTGGGTGAGTGGGTGGGTGAGTGAGTGGGTGGGTGAGTGAGTGTGGGTGAGTGAGTGGGTGGGTGAGTGAGTGTATGAGTGAGTGGGTGAGTGAGTGGGTGAATGAGTGAGTGAGTGGGTGAGTGAGTGTGTGGGTGAGTGTGTGGGTGAGTGAGTGTGTGGGTGAGTGAGTGGGTGAATGAGTGAGTGAGTGGGTGAGTGAGTGAGTGGGTGAGTGAGTGGGTGAATGAGTGAGTGAGTGGGTGAGTGAGTGAGTGTGTGGGTGAGTGAGTGAGTGTGTGGGTGAGTGAGTGTGTGGGTGAGTGTGTGAGTGAGTGGGTGAGTGAGTGAGTGGGTGAGTGGTTGAGTGTATGGGTGAGTGTGTGAGTGGGTGACTATCACAATCACGTCGCGATATTACAAATACGCGTCGTCACGTGACTGTGTATCAACCACCCCGCCCCGTGTCGCCCCGCGCCCTTGGCCACGCCCCATCAGCCAGCCCCGCCCCTATTCGCCACGCCCCCCTGCGCCGTGTGGGCCTAGCAGCAAAGGCTTATCCTTGAGGCCCGGGCCAACTTTCCCTTCCAAAAATTATCGCGAAATTTTAAACAAAACAAAAAATCAAACACCACCCCACTCCCCCCCCCACTACTAACCAACGCTTTATAAACTTCACCTCGGCGACGGGGAAGTTAGGAAATGAAGTTGAGCAGCAGGAGGAGGAGGCGCTTCGCTCTGTGTCAGCGTCTGAGCGTCTGATTGAGGCCTAACTTAGTTTCAAGAAGCCTGCAGGACGCCGTTGTTGCCTTGGCAACGGCCGGGTTCGTAAAGCGTAGAGCGGATCGGTTCGGCGGCGCGGGGGGGTGTGGGGGGGGGGGGTCTGTTGTTGCCGAGGCAACGGCCGGGTTCGTAAAGCGTAGAGCGGATAGGTCTGGCGGCGCGGGGGGGTGTGGGGGGGGGGGGTCTTTTGTTGCCGCGGCAACGGCCGGGTTCGTAAAGCGTAGAGCGGATAGGTCTGGCGGCGCGGGGGGTGGGGGTCCGTTGTTGCCGTGGCAACGGCCGGTTTCGTAAAGCGTAGAGCGGATAAATTTGCAGGAATTCATATTCTTGGTTCTTTCGCTGAAGTTACGTAGATAGAAAATAAAATAAAAATAACGGATAAGAAAATTTAATGAAATTAATTACAAATGTAAAAATAAAAGCAATACGTGAAAAATAATAAAGCAAAAACACCCACTTTCAACGTATTATTTAATTTTTTTAAATTAAATTTTGTATAATTTTATTATCTGTTGTTTTTTTCTACGTGATTTTACCGAAAGAAACAAGAAATACGTAGAGCGGATAGGCATGGGGGCGGGTGGGGGGGGGCTGTATTCTTGCCGTGGCAGCGGCCGGGTTCGTAAAGCGTAGAGCGGATAGGCTGGGAGCGAGGGGGGGCGTGGCTCCTTGTTGCCTTGGCAACCGAGGGGTTGTAGAGCGGATAGGCTGGGGGCGATGGGGGGGAGGCGGGCCCCGGCGTTGTTGTTACCATGGCAACCAAGGGGTTTTGATCTCGTAGTCTGGATAGGTGTCGGTATGGGGTGTGAATGCAAATGGTTAAATAAAGGAAGTGATATTCATGGTTCTTTCGGTAAAGTCACGTAGAAAGGAAATAATAAAATAACAAAAATATAAACAATACAATTCTCACGACGTTTCGCTTGCAGCACGAGCAATCACACTCTTTGGTTTTATTCGGTAAAGTCACGTAGATAAAATAAAACCAAATAAAAGAAAATAATTCAAATCTACGTGACTTTACCGAATAAAAGCAATGAGTGTGAATTCTTGCAGTCACGAAAGCTTCAAATCTACAAGCAATCATCATCAGGTGTGAAAACGTTCTTGTTGTGGTGAGAATTTTATTTAAAGGTCGTGATCTGAGCGTGGCTTTTTTCACTCCAGCGCTGTCCTCCAGACAGTCTCGTCCCTTCACCTGATGAAGGCCGCTTGTGTTGTGGCCGAAACGTCGTGATTTTTGTAATTTTATTTTTCACCTACGTGACTTTACCCAATAGAACCAAAGAGTATGGATCCTTGCAGTCACGAAAGCTTTAAATCTAGAAGATAATTTTATTGTTTTATTTTTATTGTTTTATTATTTCCCTTCTACGTGACTACCGAAGAACCAAGAATATTAATCTGCAGTCAGGAAAGCTTAAAGAACCAAGAATATTAATCTGTAGTCAGGAAAGCTTTAAATCGAAATTAAAGGAAGTGAGTCCACCCCTCCCCCTCCTCCCCCCACTCCCTCTCTACCCCTCCCCCACTCCCCCCACTTCCTCTCAACCCCTCCCCCTCCACCCCCCACTCCCTCTCTAACCCCTCCCCCTCCTCCCCCCACTCCCTCTCCACCCCTCCCCCCACTCCCCCCACTCCCTCTCAACCCCTCCCCCTCCTCCCCTCCTCCCCCCACTCCCTCTCCACCCCTCCCCCTCCTCCCCCCACTCCCTCTCTACCCCTCCCCCCACTCCCCCCACTCCCTCTCAACCCCTCCCCCTCCTCCCCCCACTCCCTCTCTACCCCTCCCCCCACTCCCCCCACTCCCCCCACTCCCTCTCAACCCCTCCCCCTCCTCCCCCCACTCCCTCTCTACCCCTCCCCCCACTCCCCCCACTCCCTCTCAACCCCTCCCCCCACTCCCCCCACTCCCTCTCAACCCCTCCCCCCACTCCCTCTCTACCCCTCCCCCCACTCCCGCCACTTCCTCTCAACCCCTCCCCCTCCACCCCCCACTCCCTCTCTACCCCTCCCCCTCCTCCCCCCACTCCCTCTCCACCCCTCCCCCCACTCCCCCCACTCCCTCTCAACCCCTCCTCCCCCTCCTCCCCCCACTCCCTCTCCACCCCTCCCCTCCTCCCCCCACTCCCTCTCTACCCCTCCCCCCACTCCCTGTCTACCCCTCCCCCCACTCCCTCTCTACCCCTCCTCCCCCCACTCCCTCCCCCTCCTCCCCTCCTCCCCCCACTCCCTCTCTACCCCTCCCCCCACTCCCCCCACTCCCTCTCCACCCCTCCCCCTCCTCCCCCCATTCCCTCTCTAACCCCTCCCCCTCCTCCCCCACTCCCTCTCTACCCCTCCCCCCACTCCCCCCACTCCCTCTCAACCCCTCCCCCCACTCCCCCACTCCCTCTCAACCCCTCCCCCCACTCCCCCCACTCCCTCTCCACCCCTCCCCCACTCCCCCCACTCCCTCTACACCCCTCCCCCTCCTCCCCCCACTCCCTCTCTACCCCTCCCCCACTCCCCCCACTCCCTCTCCACCCCTCCCCCTCCTCCCCCCATTCCTCTCTACCCCTCCCCCTCCTCCCCCCACTCCCTCTCTACCCCTCCCCCCACTCCCCCCACTCCCTCTCAAACCCCTCCCCCCACTCCCCCCACTCCCTCTCAACCCCTCCCCCTCCTCCCCCCACTCCCTCTCCACCCCTCCCCTCCTCCCCCCACTCCCTCTCTACCCCTCCCCCTCCTCCCCCTCCTCCCCCCACTCCCCCCACTCCCTCTCTACCCCTCCTCCCCCCACTCCCTCCCCCTCCTCCCCCCACTCCCTCTCTACCCCTCCCCCCACTCCCCCCACTCCCTCTCAACCCCTCCCCCTCCACCCCCACTCCCTCTCTACCCCTCCTCCCCCCACTCCCTCTCTACCCCTCCCCCCACTCCCCCCACTCCCTCTCAACCCCTCCTCCCCCTCCTCCCCCCACTCCCTCTCCACCCCTCCCCCTCCTCCCCCCACTCCCTCTCAACCCCTCCCCCTCCTCCCCCCACTCCCTCTCTACCCCTCCCCCCACTCCCTTTCTACCCCTCCCCCCTCCTCCCCCTCCTCCCCCCACTCCCTCTCCACCCCTCCCCCCACTCCCTCTCTAACCCCTCCCCCCACTCCCCCCACTCCCTCTCAACCCCTCCCCCTCCTCCCCCTCCTCCCCCCACTCCCTCTCCACCCCTCCCCCTCCTCCCCCCACGTCCCTCTCAACCCCTCCCCCTCCTCCCCCCACTCCCTCTCTACCCCTCCCCCCACTCCCTTTCTACCCCTCCCCCTCCTCCCCCTCCTCCCCCCACTCCCTCTCCACCCCTCCCCCCACTCCCTCTCTACCCCTCCCCCACTCCCTCTCTACCCCTCCCCCTCCTCCCCCCACTCCCTCTCCACCCCTCCCCCCACTCCCTCTCTAACCCTCCCCCTCCTCCCCCCACTCCCTCTCCACCCCTCCCCCCACTCCCTCTCTACCCCTCCCCCCACTCCCCCCACTCCCTCTCCACCCCTCCCCCTCCTCCCCCCACTCCCTCTCTACCCCTCCTCCCCCCACTTCCCTCTCTACCCCTCCCCCCACTCCCCCACTCCCTCTCAACCCCTCCCCCCACACCCCCCACTCCCTCTCAACCCCTCCCCCTCCTCCCCCTCCTCCCCCCACTCCTCTCTACCCCTCCCCAACTCCCCCCCACTCCCTCTCAACCCCTCCCCCCACTCCCCCCACTCCCTCTCAACCCCTCCCCCCACTCCCTCTCTACCCCTCCCCCCACTCCCGCCACTTCCTCTCAACCCCTCCCCCTCCACCCCCCACTCCCTCTCTACCCCTCCCCCTCCTCCCCCCACTCCCTCTCCACCCCTCCCCCCACTCCCCCACTCCCTCTCAACCCCTCCCCCTCCGCCCCCTCCTCCCCCCACTCCCTCTCCACCCCTCCCCCTCCTCCCCCCACTCCCTCTCTACCCCTCCCCCCACTCCCTGTCTACCCCTCCCCCCACTCCCTCTCTACCCCTCCTCCCCCCACTACCCTCCCCCTCCTCCCCCTCCTCCCCCCACTCCCTCTCTACCCCTCCCCCCACTCCCCCCACTCCCTCTCCACCCCTCCCCCTCCTCCCCCATTCCCTCTCTACCCCTCCCCCTCCTCCCCCCACTCCCTCTCTAACCCCTCCCCCCACTCCCCCCACTCCCTCTCAACCCCTCCCCCCACTCCCCCCACTCCCTCTCAACCCCTCCCCCCACTCCCCCCACTCCCTCTCCACCCCTCCCCCCACTCCCCCCACTCCCTCTACAACCCTCCCCCTCCTCCCCCCACTCCCTCTCTACCCTCCCCCCACTCCCCCCACTCCCTCTCCACACCCTCCCCCTCCTCCCCCCCATTCCCTCTCTACCCCTCCCCCTCCTCCCCCCGCTCCCTCTCTACCCCTCCCCCCCACTCCCCCCACTCCCTCTCAACCAACACCCTCCCCCCACTCCCCCCACTCCCTCAATCAACCCCTCCCCCTCCTTCCTCCCCCCCAGCTCCCTCTCCACCCCTCCCCCTCCTCCCCCCACTCCCTCTCTACCCCTCCCCCTCCTCCCCCTCCTCCCCCCACTCCCCCCACTCCCTCTCTACCCTCCTCCCCCCACTCCCCTCCCCCTCCTCCCCCCACTCCTCTCTACCCCTCCCCCCACTCCCCCCACTCCCTCTCAACCCCTCCCCCTCCACCCCCCCACTCCCTCTCTACCCCTCCTCCCCCCACTCCCTCTCTACCCCTCCCCCCACTTCCCCCCACTCCCTCTCAACCCCTCCCCCTCCTCCCCCTCCTCCCCCCACTCCCTCTCCACCCCTCCCCCTCCTCCCCCCACTCCCTCTCAACCCCTCCCCCTCCTCCCCCCACTCCCTCTCTACCCCCTCCCCCCACTCCCTTTCTACCCCTCCCCCTCCTCCCCCTCCTCCCCCCACTCCCTCTCCACCCCTCCCCCCACTCCCTCTCTACCCCTCCCCCCACTCCCCCCACTCCCTCTCAACCCCTCCCCCTCCTCCCCCTCCTCCCCCACTCCCTCTCCACCCTCCCCCTCCTCCCCCCACTCCCTCTCAACCCCTCCTCCCCCCACTCCCTCTCTACCCCTCCCCCCACTCCCTTTCTACCCCTCCCCCTCCTCCCCCTCCTCCCCCCACTCCCTCTCCACCCCTCCCCCCACTCCCTCTCTACCCCTCCCCCCACTCCCCCCACTCCCTCTCTACCCCTCCCCCTCCTCCCCCCACTCCCTCTCCACCCCTCCCCCCACTCCCTCTCTACCCCTCCCCCTCCTCCCCCCACTCCCTCTCCACCCCTCCCCCCCACTCCCTCTCTACCCCTCCCCCCACTCCCCCCACTCCCTCTCCACCCCTCCCCCTCCTCCCCCCACTCCCTCTCTACCCCTCCTCCCCCCACTCCCTCTCTACCCCTCCCCCCACTCCCCCACTCCCTCTCAACCCCTCCCCCCACACCCCCCACTCCCTCTCAACCCCTCCCCCCCACACCCCCTCCTCCCCCCACTCCCTCTCTACCCCTCCCCCAACTCCCCCCACTCCCTCTCAACCCCTCCCCCCACACCCCCTCCTCCCCCCACTCCCTCTCTACCCCTCCCCCCACTCCCCCCACTCCCTCTCTACCCCTCCCCCCACTCCCCCCACTCCCTCTCAACCCCTCCCCCTCCTCCCTCCACTCTCCACCCCTCCCCCTCCTCCCCCCACTCCCTCTCCACCCCTCCTCCCCCCACTCCCTCTCTACCCTTCCCCCCACTCCCTCTCAACCCCTCCCCCCACTCCCCAACCCATCCCCTCGCTCCGCCCCCTCCCCGCCCACTCCAACCCCCCCGCCCCCAACCTTTCCCCCATTCAAACCGCCACCCCCCCACCTCAACCGCTCCCCCCACACCCCTCGCCACAAGTCGCGTGCCCCACCCCCACCCACCCAACCCCACCCCACAACCGCCACAGCAACAACAAACACGCAAACGCCAAACGCCCTCGGGGCCCTCCTCGCGCACCACCACCGCGACCACCCCCGCTCCACTCACCGCCCCGGGGGCATAACTCACTTCGACTTCGTCGCTTTCCCGCCATTTCGCGATTTATTTATTTATTTCACCTCACCCCTCCCCCCCACACCCCCTCCGTCGTCTTTGTCGAGCTCGCGGCCGCCGCCATTATAGCCTCAGCGCTCTCTCATCCTCATCATCCTCCTCATCCCTCCCTCAGCGAACTTATTAATCTTCGTCTTCTTATTCTTCAACGGCAGTCGCCGCCGCCGGATAGCTCGGCTAGCCAGCTACACGACTCGATAAGAGTTTAGCGGGAGGAGGAGGAGGAGAGGGAGAGGAGAGATAAGAACAACAGCAGCAGCAGGAGGAAGACGATTTGGCGTTCGCCATGTCTTTCGGACGCGACAATGGCCCCGTTGAGTGCAAGGTCTACGTGGGGAACCTCGGTTCGAACGCCAGCGAGTACGAGCTCGAGAAGGTGACGAACACGAACACGACGACGATTATGATGATGGTGGTGGTTCACTATTCACGACGTTAATGTGTGTTGGTGGTTGTGTGTCTGTGTGTGGTTTAGTATAGATGCGTTGTTGTTGAAGATGGAGCGGGCCGCGTTATACGCTAAGGGCCTTCAGGCCTACGAGGACCGCTTTGTTTATATTCTGTTAAAAATGTAACTAAGATGTGTTCTAGAATTAATGTTTATATATGTGGCAATGATAGTGTACACTTTGTGTGTGGTTTAGTTATCGATGCGTTGTTGAAGATGGAGCGGGCCGCGTTATACGCTAAGGGCCCTCAGGCCTACGAAGACCGCTTTGTTTATATTTAGTTAATGTAATCAAGATATGTTCTAGAATTAATGTTTATATATGTAGCAATCATAGTGCACGCTTTGTGTGTGCTTTAGTATCGATGCGTTGCTGTTGAAGATGGAGCGGGCCGCGTTATACGCTCGGGCCTTCAGGCCTACGAGGACCGCTTTGTTTATATTTAGTTAAAAATATAACTAAGGTGTGTTCTAGAATTAATGTTTATATATGTGGCAATCACAGTGCACACTTTGTGTGTGGTTGAGTTATCGATGCGTTGTTGTTGAAGATGGAGCGGGCCCCGTTATTCGCTCGGGCCTTCAGGCCTACGAGGACCGCTTTGTTTATATTTAGTTAAAAATATAACCAAGGTGTGTTCTAGAATTAATGTTTATATATGTAGCAATCATAGTGCACACTTTGTGTGTGGTTTAGTTATCGATGCGTTGTTGTTGTTGAAGATGGAGCGGGCCGCGTTATACGCTAAAGGCCTCAGGCCTAAGGAAACTTGTGACCGCAATGTGTTTACATAAATAAAGATAGTTTATATGTTGTTACAAAAGTGTGACCGAGCTAACTTCGACGATTAATATTTAATAATATGTGTAGCAGGGATGGTGCTTCCTGCTTTGTGTGGGTTTTTTTAAGTATATCGATGCGTTAATGGCTCCACGTGTTGGCTCGTTAAATGTTTTAACGAAAGACAATTATTGAAATGAGTAAGAATTGCTACATTTGGCAAAGGCGTGTTAGTGCATACTGTGTGGTGTCGTTGATTATTTAATGGGTGTGAAGATGCAGTAGTTGGGGAAATAGTTACTCCACGTTGTGGTTTTGATGCTAACAAAGTAACGAGATTTATTAATGTTTACGGATGGCAATGATGTTTCCGTGTGCGTGTGTGTTTATCGCTGCGTTTTTATCCGCGTCAATATCAAGCCGGACACGTTCCGTGCTTATTTAATAGACAACACCGCGCTTGGTAAAGATATTTTAAAATAATCGTTTTAATCTTAATTAAAAATGACCCTGGGTCCATTTTCGGAAAACTTAGCCCTTTAATTAAAATACTTATTTACATGATTCATCGCCCCTACTCGCGACATAAACATTTAAGCTATTGTGTTGTCATTAAAAAGGGGTACGTTGAGACGTATTTTAAGGTAATTCTTTAACGCGATTAACGTCTGCGTGGCGTATCAAAAAATATATAATTATATAGACATGCCAAGTGGTGAGCAAAGCATAAGCGTCTTTAGAAATGCGTGCGACGCATCTTGGCGTGTGGAGTTTGTCGGTAGAATGTTGTTTCTTGAGTAACGATGCAAAAGAGGTAGGGGAAGATTTTTTTAAAATAAGAAGTTCGATTGGGTTTTAATACCTCCGCTTGGCTAAGGCCCTCAGGCTTAAGTTTATCGCAATACAATCTTCCGCAAACACGTGGATGGATTGTTCCACGTGCTTGTGCAGATTATAAATATCGCGGCAAATGTTTTTGCTCGTGAGTTCTTGCTTGCGGGGTTAAATTAAGAGGCGGGAATATTTTTTTGTGTATATATAATTGAGGGGTTTGTTTTAGTTTACCGTCTACGTGGGCGCGGCTAGGCCGAGGCTTCAAATTAATAAACTTTATTCGCTTGTATTAGATTAACTTGCTAAATTTGTTTACATTTTAATAACATGCGAATGCGTGGTGATTAGTGTGTTTTTGTTGTGCCGTTAAATTAGGAGATACATATTAAATTAGTTGGTCAACTTAAAGAGATTCAAACGTTTCCTCTGCGTGGCTAGGCCGAGGCTATAGTTGAATAAAGAATTCGCTTACGTAATCTTAATTTATTAAAGTTTGTACATTTTAATAACATGGAAATTATTATAGATCTTATTTTTGTTGTTGTGGCGTTAAATCAGGATATACATAGTTAATATTTGGTCAAGTTAATGAGATTTAATATTTTCCGCTGCGTGGGTAGGCCTAGGTTTGAATTGAATAAACTTAATTCGCTTATATAAGATTAGATTAGCAAGGTTTGTACATTTTAATGGCACGGCAGTTGAGTGGTGACGATTAGTGGGTTTTGGTTGTGGCGTTAGATTAGGATATAAATATTAAATATTTGATCAACTTATGAGTTTAAATTGTTGACTCGACGCGGCTAGGCCCAGGCTTCAAATTAATAAACGATTTCCCTCATGTAAAATAAACCTAGTCAAATTTGTACATTTTAATAACGTGCCAATGAGTAGTGGTTAGTTCGTTTTGTTGTGGCGTTAAATTGGGAGAGTAAATATTTGGTTAACTTAATAAAATAATCTGCGCGGCTAGGCCGAGGCTTCAAGGTTAACGAACACATTCGCTTATATAAGATAAATTTGTAAAGGTTGTGCGTTTTAATGACACGGCGATGATTCGTTATTAGTGTGTATTTGTTGTGGTGTTAAATTTGGAGAGAGATGGTAAATATTTAATAGACTGATGAGATTAAATTGTTACCTCGACGCGGCTAGGCCCAGGCTTCAGTTGAACAAAAGAATTCGCTTACATAAAATAAATCTATTATTGGTTCTTTCGGTAAAGTCACGTAGAAGGGAAACAATAAAATAATAAAAATATAATTGTATTTTATAATTTAATTATAAAACATTTTTTTATTTTAATTATTTTTTAAAAAAATTATTGTTTACCTTCTACGTGGGAAACAATAAAATGAACCAAGAATATGAATCCCAGCAGTCACGCAAGCTTTAAATCAAAATCTTTTAAAGTTTGTTTATTTTAATAATATGGTAATTTTTGGTGATTAGTGTGTTTGGTTGTGGCGTTAAATTTGGAGATAAATAGTAAACATTTGGTCAACTTAAGACGTTCAAATGTTTTACTGTGTGCGGCTAGCCCCCCAGGGCTTTAGTTATAAATAACTAGCTGCGCACGCACGATGGAAGGAAATTTGCTAAACTCTACAACGCGTTAAATTAAAAAAAGTTTGTTTGTTTTGCGGTTGTTAAAATAGAGGGAGAGGGGGGGTTGGAGGAGGATTTAGTTTAAAAACAAATTGGTCAAATAATTCGATTTACAATTTGCACCCTTTGGCGTTTTAGGCCCGAGGCTTCATAATGTTTGAAATGCGAATTCGATTATAAATACATCGGGTTTGGGAAAGATGATAAAGTTAGCCATTGTATTATGTTGTGTGTACATTGTTACAGCATTGATGTTAACGGAAGATTTTGTCAATTATTTTAACGGCGTTATAACTTTGAGGCCTTCGGGCCCTTAGGCTCGACGTTAAGGGATTCGGGACGTCGGCGGGATATTAAAAACCCATAATAATAATGCAAACCATTATCACTTCACCCCTTTTAACCCTTGTCGCGCGAGTGATGGTGCGGCACATGCGAATGGCGCCGTGTTAGCGGCAATGGCAAGTCTTATTGGGGGGGGGGGGGGCAGTGTAGTGCTAGCCTCCGGCAAATGTGAAGTCTATGGGTGGGGCGGCAGTGGTTAAGTCTGTGGTCCGGCGCTGAACCTGTGGTGCAGCTGCGAATCTACGGGGCAATGTTTTAAGTCGCGCGGTGCACGGCCGAGTCGACGTTGGCCCACTTTGACCCTGTGGGGCGGTCGGGACCCACCCACCCCACCCCCGCTACGAGTGGCCTCGTTCACCCTCCTGCCTCACCACCCCTGCCCCGCCACCAGGTGTTCAGCCACTACGGCCCCCTGCGCTCTGTGTGGGTGGCTCGCAACCCGCCGGGCTTCGCCTTCGTCCAGTTCGAGGACACGCGCGACGCCCGCGACGCCTGCCGGGAGCTGGACGGGCGCCTCATCTGCGGCTCCCGCGCCAGCGTCGAGATGTCCACGGGGGAGCGGCGGCAGAAGAGGTTTGGGGGCCCGGCCCCCCCCTGGCAGCGGTCAGTATCATCGCACTCGCCACCCGCCGCGCAAGACTCGCGTAAAACGTAACTATTGCACGGCGGCCGACGGGCCGGGCGGGCGTTGTGTGTGGGCGTTGTGTGTGTGGGCGTTGTGTGTGTGTGGTTGTGTGTGGGGTTGTGTGTGTGTGGGGTTGTGCGTGGGGTTGTGTGCGTGGGGTTGTGTGCGTGGGGTTGTGTGTGTGGGGTTGTGTGTGGGGTTGTGTGTGTGTGGGGTTGTGCGTGGGGTTGTGTGTGTGGGGTTGTGCGTGGGGTTGTGTGTGGGGTTGTGTGTGGGGTTGTGCGTGTGGGGTTGTGCGTGTGGGGTTGTGTGTGTGGGGTTGTGTGTGTGGGGTTGTGTGTGTGGGGTTGTGTGTGTGGGGTTGTGTGCGTGGGGTTGTGTGCGTGGGGTTGTGTGTGTGGGGTTGTGTGTGTGGGGTTGTGTGTGTGGGGTTGTGTGTGTGGGGTTGTGTGTGTGGGGTTGTGTGTGTGGGGTTGTGTGTGTGGTGTTGTGTGTGTGGGGTTGTGTGTGTCAGTGTGTGTGTGGGGTTGTGTGTGTCAGTGTGTGTGTGGGGTTGTGTGTGTCAGTGTGTGTGTGGGGTTGTGTGTGTCCGTGTGTGTGTGTGGGGTTTGTGGGTGTGTGTGGGGTTTGTGGGTGTGTGTGGGGTTTGTGGGTGTGTGTGTGGGGTTTGTGGGTGTCCGTGTGTGTGTGTGGGGTTTGCGGGTCCGTGTGTGTGTGTGGGGTTTGTGGGTCCGTGTGTGTGTGGGGTTGTGCGTGTCCGTGTGTGGTTGTGTGTGAGGTTGTGCGTGTCCGTGTGTGGTTGTGTGTGAGGTTGTGCGTGTCCGTGTGTGTGGGGTTGTGTGTGTGGTTTGTGGGTCCGTGTGTGGGGTTGCGGGTCCGTGTGTGTGTGTGGGGTTGCGGGTCCGTGTGTGTGTGTGTGTGTGGGGTTTGTGGGTCCGTGTGTGTGTGTGGGGTTTGTGGGTCCGTGTGTGTGTGTGGGGTTTGTGGGTCCGTGTGTGTGTGTGTGGGGTTTGTGGGTCCGTGTGTGTGTGTGTGGGGTTTGTGGGTCCGTGTGTGTGTGTGGGGGTTGTGCGTGTCCGTGTGTGGTTGTGTGTGAGGTTGTGCGTGTCCATGTGTGTGGGGTTGTGTGTGTGTGTGGTTTGTGGGTCCGTGTGTGGGGTTGCGGGTCCGTGTGTGTGTGTGGGGTTGCGGGTCCGTGTGTGTGTGTGGTTTGTGGGTCCGTGTGTGTGTGTGGGGTTGCGGGTCCGTGTGTGTGTGTGGGGTTTGTGGGTCCGTGTGTGTGTGTGGGGTTTGTGGGTCCGTGTGTGTGTGTGTGTGGGGTTTGTGGGTCCGTGTGTGTGTGTGGGGTTTGTGGGTCCGTGTGTGTGTGTGTGGGGTTTGTGGGTCCGTGTGTGTGGTTTGTGGGTCCGTGTGTGTGTGGGGTTTGTGGGGGTCCGTGTGTGTGTGTGGGGTTTGTGGGTCCGTGTGTGTGTGTGGGGTTTGTGGGTCCGTGTGTGTGTGTGTGGTTGTGTGACAGCAGTGAGTGGCTAGTGCTGTTTCCCATTCAGCCAGCCACCCGCCCCTCTCGCTGTGTACCTTCTAATCTTGTCTCTTCCCCCTCCTCCCTCCCCCCTTCCCCCCCCCTTCCCCCACCTCTCCCCCCCTCCCCCAGCTCTGACTATGGGGGCCGTCGCCGCTCTCCCTCTCCGCGCCGCTCCCCGCGCCGCTCTCCGTCTCCACGGCGACGCTCCTCGGTGTCGCCACGGCGACGCTCCCCCGTCTCCCCGTCACGGAGACGCCGCAGCCTCAGCCGCAGCCGGTGAGACGCTCGCAGATAGACGCCCGAGACAGACGCATGCACAGGGACAAGACGCATGCACAGGGACAGATGCATGTATAGAGAGACGCATACATAGATACATGGAGACCCACACATAGATACATGGAGACCCACACATAGAGACCCATACATAGATACATGGAGACCCACACATAGATACATGGAGACCCACACATAGATACATGAAGACCCATACATAGATACATGGAGACCCATACATGGAGACCCATACATAGATACATGGAGACCCACACATAGATACATGGAGACCCACACATAGATACATGGAGACCCACACATAGATACATGGAGACCCACACATAGATACATGGAGACCCACACATAGATACATGGAGACCCACACATAGATACATGGAGACCCACACATAGAGACCCATACATAGATACATGGAGACCCATACATAGAGACCCATACATAGATACATGGAGACCCATACATGGAGACCCATACATAGATACATGGAGACCCACACATAGATACATGGAGACCCACACATAGATACATGGAGACCCACACATAGATACATGGAGACCCACACATAGATACATGGAGACCCACACATAGATACTTGGAGGACCCACACATAGATACATGGAGACCCACACATAGATACATGGAGACCCACACACAGATACATGGAGACCCACACATAGATACATGGAGACCCACACATAGATACATGGAGACCCACACATAGATACATGGAGACCCATACATAGATACTTGGAGACCCATACATGGAGACCCACACATAGATACATGGAGACCCACACATAGATACATGGAGACCCACACATAGATACATGGAGACCCACACATAGATACATGGAGACCCACACATAGATACATGAAGACCCACACATAGATACATAGAGACCCACACATAGATACATGGAGACCCACACATAGATACATGGAGACCCACACATAGATACATGGAGACCCACACATAGATACTTGGAGGACCCACACATAGATACATGGAGACCCACACATAGATACATGGAGACCCACACATAGATACATGGAGACCCACACATAGATACTTGGAGGACCCACACATAGATACATGGAGACCCACACATAGATACATGGAGACCCACACATAGATACATGGAGACCCACACATAGATACATGGAGACCCACACATAGATACATAGAGACCCACACATAGATACATGGAGACCCACACATAGATACATGGAGACCCACACATAGATACATGGAGACCCACACATAGATACATGGAGACCCATACATAGATACATGGAGACCCACACATAGATACATGGAGACCCACACATAGATGCATGGAGACCCACACATAGATACATGGAGACCCACACATAGATACATGGAGACCCACACATAGATACATGGAGACCCACACATAGATACATGGAGACCCACACATAGATACATGGAGACCCACACATAGATACATGGAGACCCACACATAGATACATGGAGACCCACACATAGATACATGGAGACCCACACATAGATACATGGAGACCCACACATAGATACATGGAGACCCACACATAGATACATGGAGACCCACACATAGATACATGGAGACCCACACATAGATACATGGAGACCCACACATAGATACATGGAGACCCACACATAGATACATAGAGACCCACACATAGATACATGGAGACCCATACATAGATACATGGAGACCCACACATAGATACATGGAGACCCACACATAGATACATGGAGACCCACACATAGATACATGGAGACCCACACATAGATACATGGAGACCCACACATAGATACTTGGAGGACCCACACATAGATACATGGAGACCCACACATAGATACATGGAGACCCATACATAGATACATGGAGACCCACACATAGATACATGGAGACCCACACATAGATACATGGAGACCCACACATAGACACATGGAGACCCACACATAGATACATGGAGACCCACACATAGATACATGGAGACCCACACATAGATACATGGAGACCCACACATAGATACATGGAGACCCACACATAGATACATGGAGACCCATACATGGAGACCCACACATAGATACATGGAGACCCACACATAGATACATGGAGACCCACACATAGATACATGGAGACCCACACATAGATACATGGAGACCCACACATAGATACATGGAGACCCACACATAGATACATGGAGACCCTTACATATATACATGGAGACCCACACATAGATACATGGAGACCCATACATAGATACATGGAGACATGGAGACCCATACATAGATACATGGAGACCCATACATAGATACATGGAGACCCATACATAGATACATAGAGACCCATACATAGATACATGGAGACCCACACATAGATACATGGCGACCCACACATAGATACATGGAGACCCACACATAGATACATGGAGACCCACACATAGATACATGGAGACCCATACATAGATACATGGAGACCCACACATAGATACATGGAGACCCACACATAGATACATGGAGACCCACACATAGATACATGGAGACCCACACATAGATACATGGAGACCCACACATAGATACATGGAGACCCACACATAGATACATGGAGACCCACACATAGATACATGGAGACCCATACATAGATACATGGAGACCCATACATAGATACATGGAGACCCATGCATAGATACATGGAGACCCACACATAGATACATGGAGACCCACACATAGATACATGGAGACCCACATAAAGACACAAGACATACCATGTGCAGGCTCGTAGTTTATAGTAGTGTAGTATAGTCGAGTAGTAGTGTACAATGTACAGTCATAGTGTACAGTAGTGTAGTATTTAGCTTATAGTGAGTAGCGTGTAGTGTACAGTAGTTGGCGGTTTTACAGCAGTGTGCGGTATACAGTAGCGTGTATTGTAATTAAATTTATAGTCTGGTGCAGGGGGTCACCAAACTACGGCCCCGCGGGCCGAATCTGGCCCGAGACGTCGGTCCATCAGGCCCACCGACGGTACTTGAATTTGGTTGATAAAACGTTATGGGGCACCAGGCGTTGTGACGCAATTTTAATTTAAACGTTTAGAACGCTGGGAGGTCTTCACGCGTGCGGAGACCTCCTGACTGCCGTGTCCCTTGAATTTTGCCATTTTAAATGGTTGTATCTAGATGTTCTTGTTCATTGTAATGTTTGCGCCAGCCAAAGTACTTCCCCCGGCTCGCGGTAGCTCCGCCTACGCTCTGACGTCACCATGGTCTCCATGGCAACACACACACAAACGCGCATCTTTCCCGCCCCCAGATTTTCCAGCTGTCGCCACAGGTCCGACGCTCCATTAATATTTATTTATTTATTTGTGCAGCCCGTGCTCGTCATTCTTTCAGTTATCCGGCCCACTGTTAAAAAAAAAAAAGTTTGGTGACCCCTGGTCCAGTGTAATATCTCGTGGTGTAGTTTTATATTCTTGGGCCTTTCGGTAAAGTCACGTAGATGGGTTAAAGTGTCTAGTGTGGTGTACAGTAGTGCGTAGTGTACGTTTGTAAGGTAGGGTGTGTGGTGTGTGTAGTTGTAAGGTAGGGTGGTGTATAGTTGTAAGGTAGGGTAGTGTAGTGTATAGTTGTAAGGTAGGGTAGTGTATAAGTTGTAAGGTAGGGTAGTGTATAGTTGTAAGGTAGGGTAGTGTATAGTTGTAAGGTAGGGTAGTGTATAGTTGTAAGGTAGGGTAGTGTATAGTTGTAAGGTAGGGTGTGTAGTGTGTAGTTGTAAGGTAGGGTAGTGTATAGTTAGGTAGGGTGTGTAGTGTATAGTTGTAAGGTAGTGTATAGTTGTTAGGTAGGGTGTGTAGTGTGTAGTTGTAAGGTAGGGTAGTGTATAGTTGTTAGGTAGGGTGTGTAGTGTATAGTTGTTAGGTAGGGTGTGTAGTGTATAGTTGTAAGGTAGGGTGTGTAGTGTATAGTTGTAAGGTAGAGTAGTGTATAGTTGTAAGGTAGGGTGTGTAGTGTATACGTTGTAAGGTAGGGTAGTGTATAGTTGTAAGGTAGGGTGTGTGGTGTGTATAGTTGTAGGGTAGTGTATAGTTGTAAGGTAGGGTGTGTGGTGTATAAGTTGTAGGGTAGTGTATAGTTGTAAGGTAGGGTGTGTAGTGTATAGTTGTAAGGTAGGGTAGTGTATAGTTGTAAGGTAGGGTGTGTGGTGTGTATAGTTGTAGGGTAGTGTATAGTTGTAAGGTAGGGTGTGTAGTGTATAGTTGTAAGGTAGGGTAGTGTATAGTATGTAAAATCGAGAGCTCCCGATTTTGCAACGTTGCGCCCAATGACAGATGAGGGCTTACGACTGACAGTGGCTCGACTTAGGGCTGTTACCCAGGAGCCAGTTGGGTCGTAGGTGTGGCGGTCGCCTGTACAGACGCGCAGATATGCGCTTGAGATTCGTAGACACTCGGAGATACTTGGTGAGGCAATTTCATAGATACGGAGGGACGGGCAGACCTTTGGAGACACCCGAGGACACGCAGAGACACTGGGGGGGGCACACGTGGGGACACAGACGCTCAGATAACTGTATGATGCATGAACGGTACCCATCAACTGGTTCAGGTGCATTGCTTGAAACGTCTGAACTGTGGCGGTAACCCCAGGAGTTGAACCCAGGTCAGATGTGTTCATAGTGTGCGAGCGCGCGTGTCTTGTGTGTGATCACTGACTTGTTCACTCGCGCACGCTCACTCGCTCGCACGCAGATTCACTCGCACGCAGATTCACTCGCACGCAGATTCACTCGCATGCTCGATTCACTCGCACGCTAGATTCACTCGCACGCAGATTCACTCGCACGCTCACTCGCTCGCACGCTAGATTCACTCGCACGCTAGATTCACTCGCACGCTAGATTCACTCGCTCGCAGATTCACTCGCACGCTCACTCACTCGCACGCCCACTCACCCACCCACTCACCCACCCACTCACCCACCCACCCACTCACCCACCCACTCACCCACCCACTCACCCACCCACTCACCCACCCACTCAGCCACCCACTCACCCGGTGCTGCGGGGCGTGTGCGTGACCCTTGTCCCTGTGTTCGATGTCGTTTCACCAGAAATGGTGTCTGGCTTCTCTCGGCTTTCCAGCCACCGTAGACGCCTATCCCGGCGCCCGCCTTATCTCCCCCGTCTAGCCGTCTCGCTAGCCAAGCGTGGCTTGCCAGCTAACCGGCAGCGGCTAACCGGCTAGCTAAGCGGCCGCTTGCCAACCAGCCAAGGCCGTCCACGATGTCAACAACTCGGCCTCTGCACCCGGCTCGCCTGAGCGTCGGCAAGGCCATCTGCCAGCTGTTCGGCTATCCGGCCACCCAGCTACCAGCTGTTCGGCTATCCAGCTGTTCAGCCGCCCGGCTGTTCATCTATCCAGCTATTCAGCTACCCAACTATTCATCTATCCAGCCGTTCAGATACCCAGCTATCTAGCTATCCAGCTGCTCAGCTATTCATCTTTCCAGCTATTCAGCGACCAGCTGTTCAGCTATCTGGTTATTCAGCTATCCAGCTGTTCAGCTATTCATCTTTCCAGCTATTCAGCGACCAGCTGTTCAGCTATCTGGTTATTCAGCTATCCAGCTGTTCAGCTATTCATCTTTCCAGCTATTCAGCGACCAGCTGTTCAGCTATCCGGTTATTCAGCCACCCAACTATTTATCTATCCAGCTTGTTCAGCTCTTCAGCTTCCCAGCTGCTCAGCCACCCCGGCTATCTAGCTCTGTCCAGCTTGTTTAGCTCATCAGCTACCCAGCTATCTAGCTCTCCAGCTGTTAAACTATCCCAGCTACCCAGCTGTTCAGCTACCCAGCTATCTAGCTCTCCAGCTGTTCAGCTACCCAGCTATCTAGCTCTCCAGCTGTTCAGCTACCCAGCTATCTAGCTCTCCAGCTGTTCAGCTACCCAGCTATCTAGCTCTCCAGCTGTTCAGCTACCCAGCTATCTAGCTCTCCAGCTGTTCAACCACTCGGCCATCCTTCCAGACTCGCAGCTAGCGGCTGACCCAGCCAATCTTCGGCGCGCCTACCTACACAGTCAACCATCCAGCTACCCCAGGCATCAAGTCAACAGTTTTGACTGCCGGCCTGCGCACCAACCCACCTAAGTCATCCAACCATCTGGGCTGTTCAGCTTCGCAAGCCACTCTGGCCGACCAACTAACCAGCCATCCAGCTACCGACTCGGCTACCCTGCCAACTAGCCACTCGGCCAGCCAACAAGCCTACCATCCAGCCACCCAGCTACCATCCAGCCAACGAGCCTACCATCCAGCCAACCAGTCTACCATCCAGCCACCCAGCTACCATCCAGCCAACGAGCCTACCATCCAGCCAACCAGCCTACCATCCAGCCAACCAGTCTACCATCCAGCCAACCAGCCTACCATCCAGCCAACCAGTCTACCATCCAGCCACCCAGCCTACCATCCAGCCAACCAGTCTACCATCCAGCCAACCAGCCTACCATCCAGCCACCCAGCCTACCATCCAGCCACCCAGCCTACCATCCAGCCACCCAGCCTACCATCCAGCCACCCAGCCTACCATCCAGCCACCCAGCCTACCATCCAGCCACCCAGCCTACCATCCAGCCACCCAGCCTACCATCCAGCCACCCAGCCTACCATCCAGCCAACCAGCCTACCATCCAGCCACCCAGCTGCCATCCAGCCAACCAGCCTACCATCCAGCCAACCAGTCTACCATCCAGCCACCCAGCCTACCATCCAGCCACCCAGCCTACCATCCAGCCACCCAGCTGCCATCCAGCCAACCAGCCTACCATCCAGCCAACCAGCCTACCATCCAGCCACCCAGCTGCCATCCAGCCAACCAGCCTACCATCCAGCCAACCAGCTGCCATCCAGCCACCCAGCCTACCATTCAGCCACCCAGCCTACCATCCAGCCACCCAGCCTACCATCCAGCCACCCAGCCTACCATCCAGCCACCCAGCCTACCATCCAGCCACCCAGCCTACCATCCAGTCACACAGCTACCCAGCCTACCAACCAGCGACCCAGCCTACCATCCAGTCACCCAGCTACCCTGCCTACCATCCAGCGACCCAGCCTACCATCCAGCTACCCATCCTTCCATCCAGTCACTCAGCCTACCATCTAGCTACAAAGCCTACCATCCAGCCTACCACCCAGCCTACCACCCAGCCTACCACCCAGCCTACCACCCAGCCTACCACCCAGCCTACCACCCAGCCTACCACCCAGCCTACCACCCAGCCTACCACCCAGCCTACCACCCAGCCTACCACCCAGCCTACCACCCAGCCTACCACCCAGCCTACCACCCAGCCTACCACCCAGCCTACCACCCAGCCTACCATCCAGCCTACCATCCAGCCTACCATCCAGCCTACCATCCAGCCTACCATCCAGCCTACCACCCAGCCTACCACCCAGCCTACCATCCGGTCTACCACCCGGCCTACCACTCGACTGACCAGTCGGCAATTCGACCGCCAGTCTACGCCACCTACCTTGCTACACCTACCTTGCTACCTACCTACCTACACACCCGCCCATCAACCACCACCTCAGTCTGCCCTTACGACTGTCCGTGCCAAGGTAACGGGCAGCTGGAGTTAACCCAGGTTACTGGTGGGGGTGGGTGGGTGGGTGGGGCTAGAGAGTGTGGGTGGGGCCAGAGCGAGTGGGGGTGGGGCCAGAGCGAGTGGGGGTGGGGCCAGAGCGAGTGGGGGTGGGGCCAGAGAGAGTGGGGGTGGGGCCAGAGCGAGTGTGGGTGGGGCCAGAGCGAGTGCGGGTGATTGATTGAGCGAGCGAGCGAATCACGTGGGCCTGTGGATGACCCGAGTGTGGCCGAGTGACGGGCGCTTGTGCGTGCGAAACCTCGGATAACCGAGGGGGAGCGGCTGAACCCTGCGCGGGCCTGCTTTGTTGCGTGTGACTGTGAAGGAGGGTCGTCGCCCGAAACGTCGGCGCACTGGGGCAAAGACCCGGGGTGTCGTGGTTTTAATGTCGGTGCAGAGGCAAAGACCCCCCGCCCCCCACACACACACACGTAGCCTTGCGACGTGTTGTCGATGTCCGGGAGACGTTAAATTACCTCGCCCGGTGCGCAGGACGTCACGGGTTCCATCCCGATCCCCTGCGTTTGGAGTTTGTGCGATGTCGTCGCTCACTCTCCCCCCTCCCCTCTACCCCGTTGGTGGTCACCGCGTAGATTTTGCCGGGGGGGGTCGTCATCCGGTTTGTTTTATAATTGCCTGCCCCCCCCCGCCCCCCATTCCTCCCAACGTTTTAGAATCGACGTCACCCCGACACTTTTTTTAGAGAGGGGGGGGTGGGGGTGGTTTCGGCTGTCGGCCGCCCTCGCTTGAGCAGCTTGCCACCAATGCGTGCGGCCGGGCAGCTCGTGTTGAGTCGGGGGCCCCCCCTGGCCGGTCGAACACAGGGCAGCGAATCTTTTTAACGGACTGCTTGAACCGAGTTGGTCGAGACGTTTCACCGGGGCAACAGGATGGTGACTGCCTGGCCCGGATTTGGCGTTTGGGGGTGGGGGGGGTGGGGTTGTTGTTGTTGTTGTGGCCTCGTGGTGCGAACGGCAACGACTGACCCCACTGTCTCTCCGCCCCCTCTCTCTCTGTCTGTCTCTGTCGTGTGTGCCGTCTCTTGTGTGTCTGTGTCGGGGCATCTCTCTCCCACGTGTCTCTCCCACGTGTCTCTCCCACCGTGTCTCTCCCACCGTGTCTCTCCCACCGTGTCTCTCCCACCGTGTCTCTCCCACCGTGTCTCTCCCACCGTGTCTCTCCCCCCCCCCGTGTCTCTCTCCCCTGTCTCTCCCCCCCGTGTCTCTCCCCCCTGTGTCTCTCTCCCCGTGTCTCTCCCCCCCGTGTCTCTCCCCCCCGTGTCTCTCTCCCCCCGTGTCTCTCTCCCCGTGTCTCTCCCCCCCGTGTCTCTCCCCCCCGTGTCTCTCCCCCCCGTGTCTCTCTCCCCCCCGTGTCTCTCTCCCTCCCGTGTCTCTCTCCCTCCCGTGTCTCTCTCCCCCCGTGTCTCTCTCCCCCCGTGTCTCTCCCCCCGTGTCTCCCCCCCCGTGACTCTCTCCCCGTGTCTCTCCCCCCGTGTCTCTCCCCCCGTGTGTCTCCCCCCCGTGTCTCTCTCCCCGTGTCTCTCCCCCCGTGTCTCTCTCCCCGTGTCTCTCCCCCCGTGTCTCTCTCCCCCCGTGTCTCTCTCCCCCCGTGTCTCTCTCCCCCCGTGTCTCTCCCCCCGTGTCTCTCCCCCCGTGTCTCTCCCCCCGTGTCTCTCTCCCCCCGTGTCTCTCCCCCCCCGTGTCTCTCCCCCCGTGTCTCTCCCCCCGTGTCTCTCCCCCCATGTCTCTCCCCCCGTGTCTCTCTCCCCGTGTCTCTCCCCCCGTGTCTCTCCCCCCGTGTCTCTCCCCCCCCGTGTCTCTCCCCCCCCGTGTCTCTCCCCCCCCGTGTCTCTCCCCCCCCGTCTCTCCCCCCGTGTCTCTCCCCCCCGTGTCTCTCCCCCCCCGTGTCTCTCCCCCCCCCGTCTCTCCCCCCGTGTCTCTCCCCCCGTGTCTCTCCCCCCGTGTCTCTCTCCCCCCGTGTCTCTCTCCCCCCGTGTCTCTCCCCCCGTGTCTCTCCCCCCGTGTCTCTCCCCCCGTGTCTCTCCCCCCGTGTCTCTCCCCCCGTGTCTCTCTCCCCCGTGTCTCTCTCCCCCGTGTCTCTCTCCCCCGTGTCTCTCTCCCCCGTGTCTCTCTCCCCCCGTGTCTCTCTCCCCCCGTGTCTCTCCCCCCGTGTCTCTCCCCCCGTGTCTCTCTCCCCCGTGTCTCTCCCCCCGTGTCTCTCCCCCCGTGTCTCTCTCCCTCCCGTGTCTCTCTCCCTCCCGTGTCTCTCTCCCCCCGTGTCTCTCTCCCCCCGTGTCTCTCCCCCCGTGTCTCTCCCCCCGTGTCTCTCCCCCCGTGTCTCTCCCCCCGTGTCTCTCCCCCCGTGTCTCTCCCCCCGTGTCTCTCTCCCCGTGTCTCTCCCCCCGTGTCTCTCTCCCCCGTGTCTCTCCCCCCGTGTCTCTCTCCCCCGTGTCTCTCTCCCCCCGTGTCTCTCCCCCCGTGTCTCTCCCCCCGTGTCTCTCCCCCCGTGTCTCTCCCCCCGTGTCTCTCTCCCCCCGTGTCTCTCCCCCCCGTGTCTCTCCCCCCGTGTCTCTCCCCCCGTGTCTCTCCCCCCGTGTCTCTCCCCCCGTGTCTCTCCCCCCGTGTCTCTCCCCCCGTGTCTCTCCCCCCGTGTCTCTCCCCCCCCGTGTCTCTCCCCCCCCGTGTCTCTCCCCCCCCGTGTCTCTCCCCCCCGTGTCTCTCCCCCCGTGTCTCTCCCCCCGTGTCTCTCCCCCCGTGTCTCTCCCCTCGTGTCTCTCCCCCCGTGTCTCTCCCCCCGTGTCTCTCCCCCCGTGTCTCTCCCCCCGTGTCTCTCCCCCCGTGTCTCTCTCCCCCCGTGTCTCTCCCCCCGTGTCTCTCCCCCCGTGTCTCTCCCCCCGTGTCTCTCCCCCCGTGTCTCTCCCCCCGTGTCTCTCTCCCCCGTGTCTCTCTCCCCCGTGTCTCTCTCCCCCCGTGTCTCTCTCCCCCCGTGTCTCTCTCCCCCGTGTCTCTCCCCCCGTGTCTCCCCGTGTCTCTCCCCCCGTGTCTCTCTCCCCGTGTCTCTCTCCCCGTGTCTCTCCCCCCGTGTCTCTCCCCCCGTGTCTCTCCCCCTGTGTCTCTCTCTCCGTGTCTCTCTCCCCCCGTGTCTCTCCCCCCGTGTCTCTCTCCCCCCGTGTGTCTCTCCCCCCGTGTCTCTCCCCCCGTGTCTCTCTCCCCGTGTCTCTCTCCCCGTGTCTCTCTCCCCGTGTCTCTCCACCCGTGTCTCTCCACCCGTGTCTCTCCCCCCGTGTCTCTCCCCCCGTGTCTCTCCCCCCGTGTCTCTCCCCCCGTGTCTCTCTCCCCCCGTGTCTCTCCCCCCGTGTGTCTCTCCCCCCGTGTGTCTCTCCCCCCGTGTCTCTCCCCCCGTGTCTCTCTCCCCGTGTCTCTCTCCCCGTGTCTCTCTCCCCGTGTCTCTCCACCCGTGTCTCTCCACCCGTGTCTCTCCCCCCGTGTCTCTCCCCCCGTGTCTCTCCCCCCGTGTCTCTCCCCCCGTGTCTCTCTCCCCGTGTCTCTCTCCCCCGTGTCTCTCCCCCCGTGTCTCTCTCCCCGTGTCTCTCTCCCCGTGTGTAGGAGTCCTCGCCGCGTGAGCCGTACCGGTTCTCGCTCCCCGGGCCCCGTCAAGAGGGGGGCCGGCAGCTCCGTCGGGGGGGGCCCCTCCTCCTCCTCGGCACGTGCCGACAATGGCCGCTCGCGCTCCCGCAGCTAGGGAGGGGGGGGGGTAGTGGGGGGGGGGGGTTGAGATGGTGGTGGGGGGAGGGTAGTGGGGGGGAGGTGGGTGGGGGGGAAAATGGGGGGGGGGGGGTGAGATGGTGGTGGGGAGATGGTGTAGGGGGGGGGATGGTGGTGGGGAGATGGTGTAGCGGGA